AGGTCACCCTGCAGTGCTGGCTCCACCCTGCTAGCTCCCCGCCAGCCATCCCAGCTTCCATCCAGAGGGCCATCAGAGGGGTGAGTTTGCTTTGGGCCCACAGCAGGAGCCCGGCGAGGAGGAGCTCCGACTTTCCCCGACCCCAAAGACTCCCAGGTCACCCTGCTCTGCTGGCTCCACCCTACTAGCTCCCCCGCCAGCCATCCCAGCTTCCAGCCAGAGGGCCATCAGAGGGGTGAGTTTGCTTCGGGCCCACAGCAGGGGCCCGGCGAGGACTAGCTCAGACTTTCCCCGACACCATAGACTCCCAGGTCACCCTGCAGTGCTGGTTCTACCCTGCTAAGCTCTCCCGCCTGTCATCCCAGCTTTCATCCAGGTACAAATTCCTATATTTCTCCCTTCCCACTGGGGCCATAAAATTTCCCCAGGTCAGTTGCCATGCACGCTGGGCCTGCTCTGTAGGCACATCCCGGAAAGAGGGAGTGCCTGTGCTTCAGTAGCCTGCCTGAGGAAAGGTAGACATTCTATCAGTGAATTCCCTGCCCAACAAGGGAACCTGACCCGCTACCAGAAGTTCCAGTTGAGAGCATTTGAATGAAGAGATGGGCAGACGCTAAGGCAAGACCTCCTCCAACAATCTGAAAAACAACATGAAAACACCAGATCCCAACGACCCTACAACAGAAGGACTTGAACACTCTAACCCAGAAGAAGTGGAAAAGAGTGCCATTATGAAAGCAATAGAGTCCCTTAAACAGGATATGAATAACTCCCTTAAAGAATTGGATGAGAAGTATAACAAAAAGTTTGAAGAAATGAGTATAGAAATGGATGAGAAATATAACAAAAAGGTTGAAGAAATAAGTAAATCCGTGAATGATACCTTGAGAAACCAAGAAAAAACATTCAAACAAGTAAAGGAAACAGTCCAAGAATTGAAAACTGAAATGGAGGCAATGAAGAAAACACAAAACGAGAACCGGCTGGATATGGAAAACCTAGGTAAACAAACGGAGACTACAGAATCAAGCATAACCAATAGAATACAAGAGATAGAAGAACAAATCTCAGATTCTGAAGATACCATAGAGAAAATAAATGCTCTGGTCAAAGAACACGGTAAATCCAACAAATTCTCTTCACAAAACATTCAGGAAATCGGGGACACAATTAAAAAAAAACCAAATCTAAGAATAATAGGGATTGAAGAAGGAGAAGACCTGCAGATCAAAGGCCCAGAAAATATATTTAACAAAATTATAGAAGAAAACTTTCCCAATGTAAAGACCGATATTCCTATGAAGGTTCAAGAAGCATACAGAACGCCGAATAGACTGGAGCAAAAAAAAAAAAGTCCCCTCGCCATATAATAATCAAAACACAAAACATTCAGATTAAAGAAAGAATATTAAGAGCTGCAAAGGAAAAAGGTCAAGTGACTTATAAAGGTAAACCTATCAGGCTGACACCAGACTTCTCTATGGAAGCCATGAAAGCCAGAAGATCCTGGATAGAGGTACTGCAGAAACTAAGAGACCATGGATGCAAATCCAGACTACTATACCCAGCCAAGCTATTGTTCACTATCAACGGAGAAAACAAAATATTCCAGGATAAAAATAAGTTTAAACAATTAGTAGCCATAAATCCAGCCTTACAGAAAGTATTAGAAGGAAAATCGCAACCCAAGGAATCCAACATTGCCATCACTGCCTACAATAACCCAGACATCTAGCGACCCTTCACAACCACAACTCAAAGAAGAGAAACACACAAACTCTACTATACACACACACACACACACACAAATAATAAACGGAATCAACAACCACTGGTCATTAATATCACTTAATATTAATGGACTCAACTCACCTATAAAAAGGCACAGACTTAGAGACTGGATAAGGAAACAGGATTCTGCTGTTTACAAGAAACACACCTCAACCACAGAGATAGACATCTACTCAGAGTAAAGGGTTGGGAAAAGGTTTTCCAAGCAAACAGACCTAAGAAACAAGCTGGTGTGGCCATTGAAAATTGACTTCAAACTAAAATCAATCAGAAGAGAAGGAGATGGACATTTCATATTCATAACAGGAACAATTAATCAGAAGGAAGTTTCAATCCTGAATATCTATGCCCCTAATATAAAAGCACCCACTTATGTAAAAGAAAAACTTTTAGAATTCAAGGCAGTCATCAAAACACACACACTAATAGTAGGAGACTTCAACACACCTCTCTCACCAATGGACAGGTCAATAAAACAGAAACTCAACATAGAAATAAGAGAATTGCTAGAGGTAATAAATCAAATGGACTTAACAGATATCTATAGAACATTCTACCAAAAAAGAAAGAATATACCTTCTTCTCTGCAGTTCATGGAAACTTCTCAAAAATTGACCACATACTCGGTAACAAAGCAAACTTACACAGATACAAAAAAATATTAGTAATCACCTGTGTCTTCTAGGATCAACACGAAATAAAGTTAGAATTCAATAACAATTTGAATACCAGAAACCCTACAAATGAGTGGAAGTTGAACAGTCAACTACTGAATCATCCCTGGGTCAAGGAAGAAATAAAGAAAGAAGTTAAAGTCTTCCTTGAATTTAATGAAAATAAAGACACAACATACTCAAACCTATGGGACACAATGAAAGCAGTTCTAAGAGAAAAGTTCATAGCACTAAGTGCCCAATTAAAGAAAACAGAGAAAGCATATATTGGAGACTTAACAGCACACCTAAAAGCTCTGAAAAAAAAGAAACAGACTCTCCCAGGAGGAGTAGAAGATTGGAAATAATCAAACTGAGGGCTGAAATCAACAAAATAGAAATACAGAAAACAATCCAAAAAAAATCAACGAAACAAAAAGTTGGTTCTTGGAGAAAATCAACAAGATTGACAAACCCCTAGCCAAACTAATCAAACGGCAGAGAGAGAACACTCAAATTAATAAGATCAGAAATGAAAAGGGGGACATAACAACAGACACAGTGGAAATTCAGAGAATCGTTAGATCTTACTACGAGAGTTTATATGCCACAAAGTTGGAAAATGTACAAGAAATGGATTGGTTTTTAGATAAATACCATTTATCAAAGTTAAATCAAGACCAAGTGAACAATCTAAATAGACCTGTTAGTCACGAAGAATTAGAAGGTGTTATCAAAAACCTCCCCACCAAAAAAAGCCCAGGTCCAAATGGTTTCAATGCAGAATTCTACCAGAACTTCCAGGAAGAGCTAATACCTATACTCCTTAATGTATTTCACAATATAGAAACAAAAGAATCATGCCAAACTGTTTTTATGAAGCTACGGTTACCCTGATAGAAAAACCACATAAAGACACAACCAAGAAAGAGAATTACAGACCAATCTCACTCATGAACATTGACGCTAAAATACTCAATAAAATACTGGCAAACCGAATCCAAGAATATATTAGAAAAATTATCCATTATGATCAAGTGGGCTTCATCCCAAAATGCAGGACTGGTCCAACATACGCAAATCTATCAATGTAATCCATCATATAAATAAACTGAAAGAAAAAAACCATATGATCATTTCATTGGATGCTGAAAAAGCATTTGACAAAATTCAACACCCCTTCATGATAAAGGTGTTGGAGAGATTGGGTATACGAGGATCATACCTAAATATAATAAAAGCAATATATAGCAAGTTAAACTTTTGTTATTTGCAGACGATATGATAGTGTACATAAGCGATCCCAAAAACTCTACCAAAGAAGTTCTACAATTGATAAACACCTTTAGTAATGTGGCAGGATACAAGATCAACTCCAAAAAATCGGTTGCCCTCCTATACACAAAGAATAAAGAAGCAGAGAGGGAAATCAGAGAAACATCACCTTTCATGATAGCCACAAATAGCATAAAATGTCTTGGGGTAGCTCTAACCAAGGAAGTGAAAGACCTATTTGACAAGAACTTTAAGTCCTTGAAGAAAGAAATTGAGGAGGATATCAGAAAATGGAAAGACCTCCCCTGTTCTTGGATTGGGAGAATCAACATAGTAAAAATGGCAATTCTACCAAAAGCAATCTATAGATTCAACGCAATTTCCATCAAAATTCCATCAAACTTCTTCACAGACCTTGAGAGAGCAATAATCAAGTTTATATGGAGAAACAAAAAACCCAGGATAGCCAAAACAATCTTATACAATAAAGGAACTTTGGGAGGCATTACCATCCCTGACTTCAAACTCTATTACAGAGCGACAGTATTGAAAACAGCTTGGTATTGGCATACCAACAGAGAAGTCGACCTATGGAATCGAATAGAAGACCCGGGTATTAACGCACAAACTTATGAACACCTGATATTTGACAAGGGAGCTAAAGGCATACAGTGGAAGAAGGAAAGCATCTTTAACAAATGGTGCTGGCATAACTGGATGTCAACCTGTAGAAGAATGAAAATAGATCCATATCTATCACCATGCACAAAACTCAGGTCCAAATGGATTAAAGACATCAACATTAATCCGACCACTTTGAACCTGATAGAAGAGAAAGTGGGAAGTAGTCTACAAGATATAGGCACAGAAGACCAGTTCCTAAGCAGAACCCCAGGAGCTCAGACAATAAGAGAAGCAATGAATAAATGGGACCTCCTGAAACTGAGAAGCTTCTGTAAAGCAAAGGACACTGTCAGTAAGACAAAAAGGCTACCTTCCGACTGGGAGAAGATCTTCACAAATCCCTCATCAGACAAAGGTCTGATCTCCAAAATATACAAAGAACTCAAGAAACTAGACACTAAAACTCTAATTAACCCAATTAAAAAATGGGGTACTGAACTGAACAGAGAATTCACAACAGATGAACACCGAATGGCCAAAAGGCACTTAAGGTCATGCTCAACCTCCTTAGCGATCAGGGAAATGCAAATCAAAACAACTTTGAGACATCTAACCACAAACATATCACCGATTTCTTCAAGTATTTCTTTTTCATACCCTAATGCAGGGAAAGCTATTCCTTCAAACCAAAGGTAGTCTGACATGGCAAAGAGCTCTTTGTGGGTGCTGTTAGGATTCCACCTTTAGCCACCTGTAAAGCTTCTAGCTAATCTTGAGATCTAATATTTATAGTACAGCAAAAAGAAATCATTAACAGCCCGTAGCTCACTTCAAAACTAACTACTG